AGGTCCATTTCCTATATCCCTCCATTCCAATGCCAGTTTTTGAGAGTTGTATTAAGTTTTTCTGAAGTTTAGGGCTCCAAAGAAAGCCCTCATCCCTGTACCTCCCTGGATGGTGGTGGTTTGGGGTGGGAGACTACCCAGAGTGAGGAAGAGCACCCTGGTAAGACTCACACCCCCACAGGAAGTGGAGACCCTTACCTCTCACTGGACCCTCTATATGAACTTGGGCGGCCTCCTGGTGGGACTCTTCTCATCCACCCTGCTGGGTGCTTGGAGTGACTGTGTGGGCCGTCGCCGGCTGCTGGTACTGGCCTCGTTTGGCCTGTTGCTCCAGGCTCTGGTGTCCATCTTTGTGGTGCAGCTGCAGCTACATGTTGGCTACTTCGTGCTGGGCCGCATTCTTTGTGCCCTATTTGGTGACTTCAGTGGCCTCTTGGCTGCTGGCTTTGCTTCTGTGGCAGATGTCAGCTCCAGTCACAGCCGAACCATCCGAATGGCACTGCTGGAAGCATGCATCGGGGTGGCAGGGATGCTGGCGAGCCTCCTTGGGGGCCACTGGCTCCAGGCCCAGGGTTATGCCAACCCCTTCTGGCTGGCCTTGGCCTTGCTGATAGTCATGACTCTCTACGCTGCTTTTTGCTTTGGTGAAACGATGAAGGAGCCAACACCTGCCCGGCTCTTCACACTCCGTCACCACCGATCCATTGTCCAGCTCTACTTGGCCTCAGCCCCGGAGAAGTCCAGGAAGCATTTAGCCCTGTACTCACTGGTCATCTTTGTGGTGGTCACTGTGCACTTTGGGGCGGAAGACATCCTGACCATTTATGAGCTGAGCAAACCCCTCTGCTGGGACTCCAAGCTGATCGGCTATGGTTCTGCGGCTAGGCACCTCCAGTACCTCAGCAGCCTGCTGGGCCTGCGGCTTCTGCAATCCTGCCTGGCCGACACCTGGGTGGCGGAGATTGGCTTGGCCTTTAACATCCTGGGGATGGTGGTCTTTGCGTTTGCTACCACCACACCCCTTATGTTCACAGGTAATGTGTGTGGGCCCAGGGACAGTTTATCCTAGAGGTGCTGCGTGAAAATTGGGGGCCAACTACTTACTGCCCCCAAATGTGGTTTATGCCTGTGTCTTTGGAAGCATCAGTGTGTTCCCTTCCTGCACCGGAACACAAAACTACCAACATTGATACAAACCAGACAGACCACTAAGAAACCTCATAAAAATGGCATCTTTGTTATATAGAAAATATAGAACTTCGATAGACAAAGTAATTATTTCGCATTATCAATCATAAATATTGTTAATAAGATAGAACAACAGACAAAAGCATGGCTCATATGCTAATTACTTCACTCCTTGGCCTCCTTGTAGCCTCTATTCATGGTGTTCTTAGTTAAAGTCCATGCTATTAATGCCTTAATACTCACTTTTCTGATAAGAATCACAGGACCTACCTTAAATATCCTTGGTCAGCTTATTTGGGCTTTCAAAAAAGCCATTCTTCTCAGATACTAAATTCCTGCTTACATTAGTTCTTTTTGGTGGGAAGGGGTAGCTAGAAATGAGGAAGTTAACTTTCTTAAAGGGACAGATTTATTTTGATAAAGCCCTAAACTACATTGTGTACAAAGTCAACCATTTAGTAATCAGATTTATTAATTTGGCTGCTTGCCTGGACAGTGAGGTTGAAAGAGACCAGGTGCTTTTCTCTCCTGCCTACAGCATCTCCCATGGACTTGGTGCTGGGCTCAAAGCCCTCAGGGGTGCAGAGATGATGAAGACACTGTCATTGCTCTGGGGAGCCTCGGCAGAGTGGAATTTGGGGGCCTGACACTTGAAGAGGCCCTGGGGTACCTCATTGTATACCCACTTTGGAGGATCTGCTCCCTTCTAGGGTTTAGAGTTTTGCTGAAGAGGCAGTAGTCACACAAGGGAGAGAAATGTCTATGAAGGAAACAGTGTAAGCTTTTGAGTAACTAAATGCAAAGTGAAAAGGAACTCGCATTTACCGTGTGTTTACTATGCCGTGCTCTTCATGGGTGTTACCTGATGTATTCATTTCCTAGGGCTGCTGTAACAAATTACCACAAATTTGGTGGCTTAAAACAACAGAAATTTGTTCTCTCGGTTCTAGGATGGTATCTGTCTCTTGCCTTCTGGCTTCTGGGGACTACCTGCATTCCTTAGCTTCTGGCTGAATCACCCTGATCTCTGCCTCTTTGGTCACACTCCCTCCTCTTCTGTGAGCCTTCTTCGCCTCTGTTCTGTGTCAACATCACCCTGATCTCTGCCTCTGTGGTCACACTGCCTCCTCTTCTGTGAGCCTTCACCTCTGTTCTTTGTCAGATCTTCCTTTGCTTCTCTCTTATAAGGAATCATGTGATTGCATTTAGGGCCCAACCTGATAATCCAGGATAATGTTCCCATCTCAAGATCCTTAACTTGATCACATCTGCAAAGACCCATTTTCCACATAAGGCAACATCTATAGGTTCCAGGGATTAGGACCTGATATTTTAGGGGAGCCATTAGTCAGCCTCCTACACCCTAGAACCTTCCTGTGGTAAAGGCCTTGTTATCCTTTTACAGATAGGAGTCAGGCCCAAGGCCACACAGTGTAAGCGATGGCATCAGGTTTTGAACTCAGGGCTGCCTCCAAAGCCCATGCTTGTTTTCTGTGCCTTGCCATCTCCCTGCTATGTGAGTGATGCCTGCTGGCATCACAAGAGGTCTTCTGACAAGAATTCCATTGGCGGGGAATCGGTATTCATTTATAAAAGAGGTAGCAGATGTGTCTAACCTGAGTCCCACCTGTAGGGGCTCTGCTACATCGCGCTTGGGCTCCCCTCTCCCTATTTCCATTTTCCTGATGATTGTGTTTCTTTCTCCACAGGGTATGGGCTCCTCTTCCTGTCGTTAGTCATCACACCCATAGTCCGGGCCAAGCTCTCCAAGCTGGTGAGCAAGTCAGAGCAGGGTGAGTATCAGTGTTAACCAGCATCTGGTTCCTTATGCCCAGTATTTTCTGAACAAATTGGCCAGGGCTGGCAGAGAACCATAATGCCTTGAACTTTCAGACCACAGAATTAGAATTTGCAGAGCATGATCTTGTTCCTTTGGGTAACCCAAGCAGAGGATTTGCCCTCTCCAGACCTCAGCTTTTCCATCTGTAAAATGGATGCAATGATGCCATAGTTCCCTACTTCACTGGGGTCAGACTGTACAGGCTCAGAGGGAGCAAACAATTTCATGATGTAGGTTTTATTGTCCTGAAGTGACAGATGAGCAAGCAGAGGCCTAGAGGGTTAAAATGACTCACCAAGGGTCACTCAGTAAGTGGAGCTAGGATGCAAACCCAGGTCTGTTTTTAAGAGCAGCAGGTCTTAAGATCTGAGATTTAGTCCTGGCTCTGTCACCCACTCTCTGTGTGATCTTAGGCAGGTCCTTTTTCCTCTCTGGCCTGTTTTCTTCATCCATAACATGTGTGGTTTGCTCTTGATGACATCTCTCAGTTCTGACAGTCTGACAGTGTAATCTCAGTTTCTGTTCGATTATTACTCATTTTATAAAATTTGAGTTCTGCTGGCATATCAATAAAGAATATTATCTCAGGCCTCTGGGTCTTTAGACCCCAATCTGGAAACATCTGGCTCATCTAGTTTTCTCCCTCTGCCCTGGAAGGAGGATCTGGTGATGACAGAGATGCTGGTGCCATATAGCCCACTATGGGTTCTGTTGTCCCCAGAACCCAGGTGCTTTTATTCATTCACTCAATAAGCTTTTTTCCCCAGTACCTTTATTGTGCCCAGAGGTGCCAGGGGTAACAGGAGAAAAGAACAGCCCTTACTAACTGGCTTCCTCCAAGAAGCCAGGCCTTGTGATAGGGGCTCTAAATGCAAATTTAATGTCATTAGCAATCTGTGAAAATAGGTATTATCCTTATCTAACAGAAGGGGCACAGAAATCCAGACGGATAAATGACTCGTTCAGTGACCACAGAGCTAATAAGTGTTGGGACTGGGAATTATCTCTGCAACTCATCTCAAACAGGAGAGGATTCCAAAGGGGAGAAACCAAAAACTATTTTTCTCAGGCTTTTGCTAGAAGATATCACATGTACTTTTAATAGATGGATTTAATAATAATCATTTGTTCCATAGCCCCTGTGTGCCAGGTGCTTTCCAGGCATGACCTCATTGAATCCTTATCACAACACATGATATAGGTAGGATTTATAGATTGAGGAAGGTAAGACTCAGATTAAGTGACTTGCCCCAGGTAACACTGCTGCAGAGTAGTGGTGCCAGGATTTGAACCTCGGTCTTTCAGACTCCACAGTGTGGTGTTTATTTCTTCACAGGTGCTCTGTTTTCTGCTGTGGCCTGTATGAATAGCTTGGCCATGCTGACAGCCTCCAGCATCTTCAACTCGCTCTACCCAGCCACCCTGAACTTCATGAAGGGATTCCCCTTCCTCCTGGGAGCTGGCCTTCTCTTCATCCCAGCCATTCTGATTGGGTAACACAGGACTCTCACCCATGCTCATATGCCCTTTATCTCAAAGGTTTTCTCTTCTTCCTTCTCCTCTCAACAAGAAATGGCTGCCTCATTCCTGGAACCCTTCCCCTGTGGGTATCTCAGTCCCAACCTGACTCTCCCCTTGCAGATGGCTGCCTCATCCTCTGGGAGCCATTTCCCAAGGGCAGGAGAGAGGC